GACATGTGTGTGTCACATATGGCGACTGCAAATAGCATTATTCTATTCTTAAACCTACAAATAATCAAGGAAAATTCAATTCATCATCCACTTAAGTTGAAAGATTCTCCACTTGTAATATGCTCAACAATGATTAAGAAAGGTGAAAGATTTTAGATTGTAAAATTGGAATCTCAATTTTCCGAAGATCTCGAAAATATGAGGAATCGAGCTTTAATAACGTATGTACATAAGTACCATTAATAGTCAAAATTATTTTATGTCGTATCATCAATTGGTAGAACATGAACATAAAGCATCTAATGTGACTAAAGAGCATAACAATAAAAAATGCAATGAATCACTATGATGAAATAGGACTGAAGGCGACATAAAAGGTATCTAACATGGTATGCATTAGTGGAAAATTATATGCGTGAGTTTCAAGTATATTTGCATATCTGTGTTAAGTTGTAGAATTTAATTATTATGGTTGTGTGAAGTCTCGTACGCGAATTATGTGCATCTTCATTTGGACTTTTCTCTTAAGACATAGAAGTTGTTACTGCTGAGGAGGAGTTATTAATAGTGAATTGGTTAGTTCACATGGGAAATTGTTAAGTCATGAATCCTAATTATTATCGTTGTAAATAGTTCATATACAGGTAGATTTTACAGTTGGAATGGGGCCAGAAAACCCCCTCCTTTGAGGTTTGGGTGCGGAACCTCATATTTAGATTTTATTAATAATAGTTCAGGAATTTCACACTTATAGTTTTGATTTTGTTCTAAATTTTTCATATAGAGAGAGAACCGTTATTAGGGTTCAATATTATCATTAAAGAGAGAGATTCGAGAAAATATAGCGTATGATTTTTCTTGTGAACTTCTTTTTATCATAACAAATACGGTAGCGACAGATAATGACATAATCTTATATTGAGAAGAACTTCTATAAATCTTGTTCTTTTGTGTCTTTATTTACTTAGTGTAATTTTATTACTTTTGTTGATGTATAATTAAAGTTTTTAATTCTTAATAAGTTGAGGGTATATGAAACATCCGCTCAAATTTAATTTGGAATTAGGTGTGTAAGCACAAATTTTGGAGTTTTNAAAAAAAAAAAAAAAATAGATATAAAAAAAAAAAAAAATCTATTAAATAACTCTTCTTTGTTAATTGTGAAGAATTATAAAATCAGAAATTAACATTAATTAATTATTATTAAAAATGAATTAAAGTAAATATTTAGGCACTTTGTGGACGCCTGTGTACATAGAGTCCACCACGTGCGCCGTCACGTGGCACGGCGCCCAAGATTCGTGTACTTTTCCCATTGGTTGACTAAAAATCCACCGACGCGTGTGCACTGCGCTACCAGTACCGGATTGGATCGAATCGAAATTTTTAAGAGACAAATTCTACTGATCACGTGCACCGCACGAGTCAGCAGTTTTGGCTTTTACCCTAACAGTCAAATTATACCATTTACGTTCACACCCTCTAGTTTGTATTTAGCCACGTTTGACAACAATTAAAATAAAACCCTCCTTTTCCTCAAATTTATTTTCATAATAAAATGTTTTTCACTTAAATTAATTAATTTTTTTTTTTTACTTTTTAACCACAGATTTTATTTAAAAAAAAACTATTCCGAAACTCATTTCTTAAAAAAAATATCATTTTAATTATTGTCAAATAAGGGTTTAATTCTTATTAAAACAGAATCGTGACTGTCAATTACTAATCGTATAACCTAAGAGTATGAATATTATAATTAATCTTTAGTTACAAAACTGAATCGTGACTGTCAATTTCTAATCGTATAACCTACGAGTATGAATATTATAATTAATCTTTAGTTACAAAACTGAATCATGACTGTCAATTACTACCAAACCAAAAGAAAGAATGGAGAGGATGGCAATTGTTCGACTCTTGAAAAGCATAATACGCGTGAATAACAGATCTCTCTAAAATCTTTAAGACAATAATGTTAAACACATCAACCATCTCGTGATTATTATTTTGTTAATCGTGTCAAAAGTATGTTTCTATGAAAAATATTGTATCTTTCTCATTAGGTGGCGCCTAACAGTACAAATAACGTTATGACATCGAGATTAAATTTAATTATCCATGATCTCCTTTTTCTAATTATTGACCCATGTGTTGGATTGTTTGACTAATTAAGGGGTTTTAATTAGTATTAAAGAAATAAGTAGGATTAAGAAATGAACGAAGGGACAAGTTAATTGGATGTGATGATTATCTCGAACGTGATTAGGCAAGAAAGATTGAAGCCGACCATATCTTAAACTTATAGAAAAAGCGTGTGTGAAATTAAAGTTGGAATATGAGTATTCATGCACAATTCAAAGTAAACTTTTACTAATTATCAGTCTTTGACAAACCCAAAAAGAAGAAGAAGGAGGAGGAAAACATTTAACGAAATTCTTCGTTCCAATGTTTTCAGGACTTTTCCATTTGTACATTCAATTTTTACACACTTGTTGATACATGCATCGTTGCCAGATTCATTGAATGAAAAAACAGTTTTTTTTAACAACTTTACGAATGGGTGGACTTTAATCAAGAGAGCGCTTGTGACGCATCACATGATTGTAGAACTAGAGGTTCTAAATCCATAATTGACTTTTTCAATGGAATCTTATCTGCATGAGAATATTAGATCTCCGACCAAATGAATCACGTTGCTCATTCTTTCACGTTGATGAGTGAAAAAAAAAAAACATAAAAATTCAATGAACTGCAATCCTAATTCTAGATTTCGCCTAACATTTGATATTCGCACTCTTTTTGTTCTATTTTTTCCACAAATACTGGTTTTATCAAAAAGTTTGAGCCAATATTGAATTTTACATCTTCGACCAAGTTAATCGTGTCACTCATTTTTGGTTGAATGCACTTTAATTAAAATTGACTTGGCAATTCAATATCTTTCTTTCCATAAAAGCATAACCATGTCTTCTTCGATATTTGAAAAAAAATAAAAATAAATAAATAAAATGGTTTAATCAATAAACAAGTGGATTTTGATTGAACTTTCCTCACAAAATATTTCTCTTTTCCCCACGATTCGCCGCGTCCAATTAATCCCATTAGTTGACTACAAAAGATTTTTTTGCTTAGCATTTAGACTAACACAATAATTTTTCATGGAATTTTTTTTTTTTTTTCATTTAAAGAAAAAATTCTTTATTTACTATTGGGAGACAACGGGAAAAATGTTCTTCAACTCGACGTCGCTTTGTAATCATTTTAAGACACGTGTTATCACTGCATATCCTGATTCTTGACGACTGTTCCGCCAAAAGAGGGGGAAAAAACAACTTTAACGTTCACAGTTATAAATGAGTTGTCGCCGCAACTTCGAACCTATCTTCGATTAAGACACGGTTTCAAAAAAGCAACCAATAATCTTAGCAAACATGCTAATACGGTCAAAATACTTCCTTTATAGAAGAAGCCAGAGCAACATTCTCCAAAATAAATGTTTATAAGTTACTTATTCAATCAAATATGATTTTTGATTGATTTTTTTAAAAAAAATATTCACTCTGTCCATAAAGATAGACTTGATTTTTTATTTTGTTTATCCCAGATTATAGATCGCTCCCCTTGAAATTATAATTAATTTCTTAATATTTTCACATATATCTTTATTTAACATGTCTTCTAATCAATAAATATGATTTACTTATATTTAAATCATTATTTAATATATGGATATCTTAGAACAAATGTAAGTAAAATTTATATTCACAACTATATCAATTATATTTTCTTAGTTCATGTGAAAATAAAAATAAATATATTTTTACGAGACGGAGGGATTAATTTCTTGAATAGAGTTGGATTTTATATTTTTATTAAAAAAAGAAAAAAAGGAAAAGAGCGATAAAGGGCGTTCCTTCAGAGATTACGCCTCAAAGCCTTTGCTAGATTTACATAGAGAATCCGAAGGATTTCTCCTAGGAGAAACAAGAAAGAGAAGAACTGAAACTCTCTCTCTCTCTCTCTCTCTCTCTCACATTCACACATACACCCACAAATTATACATAATTATAGACTGAAATTTATATGAATTCATACGTATAAAGGTGGGGGAGAGAGATAAGGGATTGTTCTATTCATGTAGTTCCAATCAAGTCCTCCTTTTGCATCTTCTTATCCAATATATGTAAGTCCCATCTATTATTAATTTTATTATTATAAATCATTGTGCTTTTTTTTTTTTTTTTCTTTTTTGTTCTTTTCATTTGACGTTTTTGTTTATTCCGTTTGCTTTCTGGTTATTCTTTTGATGCTGAACAGCGTTTGAGTTTTTATCTTAAAAGAGTATCGACGGATCTAATCTGAATATTTAATTAGTTTTATTTGTAAACAGATTGCAATATTAAAGCTTTGATTTTTGATTAAAACAAGATTTTGGCAGCTGGGTATCGTTTGATCTGAATTCTAGAGATCTGGGCTGCTTTGTGGAATTTTTCATGCTTTATTTGATCAAAATACTTGATTTTTATGTTGTTTTTGAATCTGGTTTTCTCTGCCGATTGATGAATTTTGTTGTTTGGGAATCATTTTGACTAATTTAGTTCTAGAAGTTATTGGAATATAGTTCTTTTCTTGATAATCAGTTGATCTTAGATTAATAGTCTTATTGAATTTGGATCATAAACCGTAATTGATGTGACTTTTCAAATCATTAACTGTGACGGAAACTTTTTTGCTGAATGAAAATTTCCTTGGGTAATTGGTAGCATGGACAACCCCGTATAGGGGTACAATTTCCCCAAATTTTCGATTTTATCAGTAGATAAGTTTTTTGTTATGTTTGTGTGGTTCTTTTCAACAGTTCGAAAATTCTTCATTGTATCTGGGATTTCGGATATATGGTTATCCATTTTTATCAGTGGATTGCAGTTGTTGAAGAAGAAGGATTTGGAGTGGTTTCGATAAAAAAGGAGGTGCTTCTTTTGCCATCAAATCAGTAAGACATGGTGGAAGACAGGGTTCGATTGGTCTCAAGGCCTTGCATGAATCACCGGCTGGAAAAAATTGAGGTTCAGCAAGGGAAGCGACCTTTAGAAATAGTCGGAGAGAAAGATGTGGTTGTCAGAAAGGTGTCTAAGAATTCGGGAATCTTTGTAGATACATCTTTATCACTTGGTGGGTTTTTAATGTCCGCTTCTGACCAATCCAGTAACAAGCGGCATACAGGAGAAAATTCTGATTCGAGTTCTTTGATTCCTGCTATTGGTCGTGACAACTCTATTAGTTGTCTCATTCGGTCCTCAAGAGCTGATTATGGAGCCATTGCATCTTTAAACAGTAGTTTCCGTTCGCTCATTAGAAGTGGCAAGCTCTATAGATGGAGGAGGGAAAATGGCGTGGTTGAGCACTGGGTTTACTTTTGCTGTCGGCTTCTCGAATGGGAAGCATTTGACCCGAGTTGTCGCCGTTGGATGCATTTACCAACAATGAATCCTAATGACTGTTTCGTGTTTGCGGATAAGGAATCTTTGGCTGTTGGTACTGAGCTTCTTGTTTTCGGACGGGATCTCATGTCTCATATCACTTACCGGTATAGTTTGCTGACCAACACGTGGTCATCAGGATTAAATATGAATGAGCCTAGGTGTTTGTTTGGATCTGCCAGCCTCGGGGAGATCGCAATATTAGCTGGTGGTTGCAACTCGCGTGGCACTATCCTCAGTTCTGCAGAGCTCTATAATTCTGAGTTGGGAATTTGGAAGCCACTCCCAAGCATGAACAAACCAAGGAAGATGTGTTCCGGGGTGTTCATGGATGGAAAGTTTTACGTGATTGGAGGAATTGGAGGAACCGAGTCAAAGCTTCTTTCTTGTGGGGAGGAATATAATTTGGAAACCGAAACTTGGACTGAAATACCTAACATGTCCCCAGTGCGAACTGACGTGGCTAGGGAATTCAGTCTATCTGCTTCTTCCGAAGCACCGCCATTGATTGCTGTTGTAAATAATCAATTGTATGCCGCTGATTATGCTGACATGTCACTGAGAAAATATGACAAGAATAACAAAGTGTGGACTACCGTAGGAAGATTGCCTGAACGAGCTGATTCTATGAATGGTTGGGGTTTGGCATTTAGGGCATGTGGCGATAAGCTTATTGTCATTGGGGGGCCTCGGACTGTCGGTCAAGGATATATTGAAGTCAATTCGTGGGTTCCGAGTGATGGTCCGCCACAATGGGTTTTGCTCGGCAGAAAGCAATCTGGCAGTTTTGTTTACAATTGTGCTGTGATGGGATGCTGATCATTTGTGTTTCGATCCACAGTCTGTACCATTCAGATCAGGTGCCTTGCTCTCTGATGGATTGAATCCCAGATGCACCAGATTATCTTGCAAGTTCTATTTTCAACTTTTTTTCCCTTTCACTTCGAGGATGATCAGAAGGATTACCAGATTTCCTCCAAGATTTGATCGATTACTCTCTTTGAGGTCGTCTTCGGTATATCTTTTAAAACCAAATCAAAACTTTCTTTCTTTAAATTGCCTTCTCCTTTTGATGTAACATGAGAAAGTCTCAAACTTGACCTTTGCACAGAAAAGTTGGTTCGAATAACTTCTAGGATGAATACATTTATAGGTTTTCATTGGTTTCTTATGAAGGTTTATCTCATAGAATTCAGTGATTTGGTTTTTCAAGTTCTTGATTTTCTTGGCATTGTATGAACGCGGAAAACAATAAGGCGCGAATATTTTTGCTGGGAGTATCGATCATTTTTCATCGATTACTCTTTGTAGCTTCATAGCAGCTTCCCGTTCTCTTTTATCCCAACGTTTTAGTATCGAGTTTTGCTATATGTACAACTAGTTTGACAATTAATTTGACAATCCATGAGTTGGCAGACAGCTTGGCCATATGGTGAGGATGTTTACAGTTTACACCTTCTGGATTGTCAAACTAATTGTACAAAATCATTGTACTAGTAGTTTAACTCTTTAGTAATGCTGGTACTATTGACTCGAGTTGATTGCAGTTTTTATCTCCATGAAGGGGAAGTAAGATTTTGTTGCTTGACCCTTGATTCGAAATGCATATTTTATATGTTGGTCGAATATATCGTACAAAGTACTCGCAGATTATTTCTGTGGCTTGTTGAATGAACATCTTGTTCTGTCTGATAGTACTGTGGCAAGTCTCATGTTTATGCTTTGTGTACTTTACACAACTATGTACATGTACTTATTTGCATTAGCTTTCTGGGTAACATTGAGTAGACATGTGCAGTATTAGACATGATTAAACGTTATAATTTCAAGATTTTAACTTCATTTTCATTCTTAAAATTATTCAATATTACTTAATTCTTTTTTCCGAACGTCGGTATGTTTGGTTTATTTCCAACAAAATATATAAAAACAAAGATTTCTTGAAAACTGCATACATAAATATTTCACCTTTGGAAAGGGAGAATATTAAGAATAGTTGGTTTCATGAATAATTTTAATTTTTAGTATTTCTTTATTAATAAAAACAGAAATAAAGGGCACTGTTGACCACTTTTTACAATGAATAAATTTACTTATAATTATAAAATAAACAGTTGTTAATGATTTAACTTTAAAAGTTGAAAATAAATAAAATTCTTATTTAATTATTTAATTTTCAAAAAATAATTATTTTTAATTAAAAATTATATGTTCCAATATATTTAAAATTAAAAAATTATTTTAAGGTTAACTTTACTTATACTTTGTGAAACGTGCTCCAAGTTGAAAAAGAAGTAAATATTATTTTTATTTGTATGTCCGTACATAAATTTCTCCTCTTTTGGATTTGAAAAGAGCTTATCCACATTTGATTCCAAACTTCCCCAGAAATTTCCTCCACTTTTTCGACAAAAATAAGGAAAAAAATAGGAATCTACACTATCTCCCATTGCTTCCGTATATCCTATTCATAAAGCGTATTTAGAAAAATAACGAATTAAAGATAATATATATATGTAGTGATACTGGAGAAGATCAATACACTTTTCTTGAAAAATTCCTAAATATTCAAAATTCGATCGGGACCCAAGATTTTTTAATTCAAAAAGCATCGAAGTTAACTAAATAGGAATTTCAGTTTTGAATTTACAGGATTGGTGGAGTTATAATTAAAATTAATTTTTAGTGTTTCTTTTATTAATGAATTAATGTTATTAATAATAGTAGAAATTAAGGGCATTGTGGACCAAGTAATATATATATATATATAAGGATAAAGATTTTGTGAGTTCCAATTCACCAATAAATTAATGTGCCAACTCATATATATATATATACATATATATATATATATATATATATATGAGGACAAAAGTGTACCTTAAATGATTCCCATAAATCCACACTTTTTATTTGTGGTTGATAGATGTAGATGATTTGCACACTTTTCTAGCAACTTGACCACAAGAAAACCTTAGTTATTATTGCTTAGTGCACAAATACAAGGACCCAATCACACTAAAGGAAAGCAAATCTCATTTCTTAAGATTATCTTCCCCAAGACCATCAAGCAAAATTGAATGGTTTTTGTCTTTTTATAAGGGTAAAATTGTCCATTCACTTCACGATGATAGACTGTTCTTAAGGTTTAGATTCAAGTTTTAAAGAACTCGAGTCCCAATATTTCATGACATTCAATGGAGAAAATGAAATATAAAAAATTTAAGATGAATAACTAAAATTCATGCAAATGGATGCAAAAGGCAACATATCGACAATTGTTCTTTTTCCCACGGATAATATACCGCAAGTATCTCATGGGGGAATTATGATTCACCCTCTCTCTCCTTTCAACTGAACGATTTTCATTTTGCTCTATTTGGTTTCTAGTTTGGCATTTTTTAAATGCATTTATATCAAGTCAAATGTGGCATTGCTGATTCAAGACGAGTGAAAAGGAGTAACCAATTGATGAAAAAACATAAAACTTGTCTCCTCTTCTATTATCTAATGTGGTCTGTTGAGCCTAAGTCGACTCATATGGAACTCTAGCTATATTTTTATTACATGCTAGTCGAATGTGCCTATCTCATTTAGTGACAGATCCACGAATTCAGGTGAGCACAAACAGATTCAAGTGAGCACGGATGGCCACTAGACACAGCTTGAGCGGCCGTCCAATGTAAGGAAAAAAATTTCTGATGGAGCTAGCACGGGTCTGTAATGGCTCGTCGGGTGCTTACTTCGTCCCTGATCTAACTTTACAACTCTAATTAATTCTTCGTGAATTAAAAAATGCTCATAAGTACATATGAAATTTAAAGTAAGAAACACATCATAATCAACCAATATGTGACAACTCACCCCTCTCCTTCATCTTTCACCTGAATTATGCTAGGTGCTTCAATTAATAGAGGATTACATATTGAATGAAAAAGTTGATTGTATTTTAAATTGACAAATGATAGAATACCTCATTGTATTAAATAATCTATTATGTAAATCTTGATATACATGTAGCAAAACTCTTTTGTAAATGAATTCACTAATCCACCCTTATCAAAAGAGATATTACCCCTAGTACTTTACATGTCTCTATTATACTCTTGTGAATCATGAAGCTTTTTAAAATTCTAATAACATTAAAATACACCAAATTGTTTAAGAATAAAATAATTTTTTGCCTATCGACACAAAATATAAAATAAAAATCTCAAGTTTATGAGAATAATTAACCACTGCTTCACATCAAAAACAAAAAGGACGAAGCTACGTCTGAGTTGAACTTGAAGATGGAAGTCTTCTTTCGTGTCTTGACGTTGAAGTATGACCTCTCTCACCCGGTTGATTGCATCGCATACTATTCTTTCCACGATTTCCTGCACATCTATAGGAGTAAAAGTCAGCAGGAAGGAAGAAGTAAACAATGGAAGCTGCTCGTACTAAGAAATGCGCCATTTGTTTTAAGGTAACCCATAAAACATAGAATTCCATACTCACTACGGGTGTACAACTTCAATGCTCTTAGCAATCGAGTGACCAAGGTTTACTCACTCTAGCCCCTGTTTGATGCCCTTTAAGCCCCTGTTTGTCTTCCATTATGGGAGAAAGAATAGAGTTTTGAATAGTATTTTTTGGAGAATGTGTGGTTAAAATTTAAAGAAATTTTATTGGTTTGTGTGTGGAATATTTTATTATTTGAATGTGTGGTGAATAATGTTACTGTAGAAAACAATATTTTCAAATAAAGGGAGACAAACAAGCCCTAAATTAAAACTATTTTTTACATACTTATTTTCAATCATATATTTATACAATAAAATATTCTGCACGTAAATTACATTTTTTTTTCTACTTTTTATCCATACATTCTCCAAAATTTCACTATTCAAAACATTATTTTTGGTAAATAATGACCACCAAACATGGCTTAATTTTTCACGAAAAAATGTGCTTAAAATTTTTAAAAATATATTAAGTTTTGTTATGCTTTTTTATATTTGTTTTATGAATTTGAAATGTTTGGACGTAGTATGATGGACGAATTATTTTTCTTTTTTCATTATTATAAGAAAAATAAGGCAAATTTTAATTTGATTACTTATATGAAATTGAAACATAATGATAAGATAAGTAATTTGATTTTTATAGATAATTTTTAATCTCACGATCCAAATGCCACCTTAATTTTAAGTAATTGCGAGGCCAAAATGCCAAGCCTAATGGGTTAGCGTCTTATTTGGCGGTCAACGATAGTTGACCGCTAATGCGAGCCTAGGCGCTTTTTTTATTTATTTATTATTATACAATTTTTTTGAAGTTAAAAATTATTAAATGCTAATTTTTTCAGTTTGTCCTAATTTAAAATTAAAACAACCATTTGAATCCAAAAGTCAAGTGATCAACGAATCTTATTTACAGTAGATAATTTCTTAAGACACCCGAGTTATTAAAAGAAAAATTATTTACTTATCGAATTTGAACCAAATCTCAAAAATATTATTTTTAATTGATTAAAAATTAAAATAATATTAAAATAAGAAGACTTTTTTTACGCATATGCCTTGTCTAAGCTCGCGTAACCCTGGGCGTGGCCTCCATGCATCGCCACACATTACGCCTTTAGAACACTGTATATTACAAAGTTACATTGTATCTATCACATCAAAACTTAGAGGGTGTTTGGTGGAAATTAAAATTAGATTTTAGTAGATTGTGATAGAAATTTTTGAAATGTGTGATTGAAAAATTGTGGGACCCATGAAAGATATGGTTAATATTGATTGTTTGACTTTGATTTGGATTAAAATTAGATTTTA